TTTTTTCTAAAAAGTTCGACACACTGTATCTTGAAAACTATGCATTTCCGGACCCGAGTATATATGGAATAAATCTCATGTTTTCTCATGCAGAATCACCCCCTTGAATTTTTGCGCATAATTTCCGGACACCCTGTATTTTCCGTCAGGTTCCATTATATTCCCCATAGAATTTACAGGTTCCTTGGCTAGGATTCGATGGAAGCGTGCTGCTTCTGAGGTTGTTTCCACCTCTCCACAGAAACGCCTCCACGACTCCCTTTTCGCCCTCCGGGTCTGTTTATTATAATTGGTCAGAGTGATGGAATACTGCCCCCACTCCCCAGTTTTCTCCGCCTTATTGAAAAGTTTGCGTGTTTCTTTTCTTAGCGTATCAAGTTCTTCATTCCACCGCATGGAGTTAGTAACAAAGCTTACAAAGAACACGCAGAAAGAGATGATGATGTGGTTGTAACCATCAGAGAAGAAGTAGGACGGTGTATGAAGGTGGGTGTGGAAAACTACCACCCAGGCAACCAGATGACGAATGATCACGTCCCTAATTGGTGATTTTTCGTCAGAGTCGTCACACACCAATTTATGACGTCACTATGACGTACTTTCTATGACGTGATAATCACGTCATCGTTTCGACGTTGAGTGAATGTCACTTAGATGGGTAAAAGAAGACGTCAGTTTCATGACGTCCTGTCGACGTTCATTTTTCCCAGACCTCTAAACCATAAATACTTATATATCATCATGTGAAACAGAAGTATAACTCATGAAAGCAAATCAGCATGCAAGTTTTATTCTGATTATTAATAATCGCGAAAAGTAGTAGAAAAACTATTTTCTAAAAAACTTTGACACACTGTATATCTCGGAAACCAACAAGCTATGTATATATAAAAATGATTGTTTATGTATTGTATACCTATATATTGAAACCGTTACTCTTATGACGTAACAGTGACGTATGTATGAAGTCAAAAAATCACGTCATGGTGTGACGTACCAATTTGGTGAGCTTCGGATTTTGGAAATTCTTCAATAATTTGATATTTAGATTTTTGTTGGGTGACAAAGAATGCATCAATACATTGCTATCCAACTATTCTTTGTTTGCTTACATCTCGCCGACACAAACTACATAATTTTTTATACAAATACGAGTAACTGATTGCATTCTGATGGAGATGCGTACTGAAGGATGGCGCTGCTGAATAGGCGATTGAATGAACATGACACAGGAGGGACCCACCGACCCACCAAGCAGACTCAACAATGCATAATCAATATTATATAATGTCATCAGAGGCTAGTGGTGTTTATCACACCATGTTAAAGGAATCTTTTTTACGTATCATCGCCAAACTCAATCGTCATTATGACGTCAGTCGGACGTCACAGTTTGGTGCGTGAATGACGTCAATACGATGTGGGTAATATGACGTCATTGGGCTGTGACTTATTCACGTCATTATCACGTCAATGCGACGTCAACTACTGACGTCACCTTGGTCATTCAAGTGACGTAAAAAAGACGTCACTGGAACGTCATCTGGTTGCATGGGCAGCTGAGCGTGAGAACGGGCCAGCTGCTTAGTGGACCTCGGTCTCTAACGGGGGTTAACGAGAATAGCTAGCCAGGCCTGCCACTGCAGCATAATTATGGTAGTGAGTACATTACTAGCCGACAAAACACAGCCGAAAAACTCTGAAAGAGAGCTGATGGGCGGTGCCTGAATAGGATGTTAGCCAGCTCTCTTAAGCGAACCACATCAGTTATCGAAAACACCTTGGGGCTTGCATAAAGGTCCCATTAGGGACTAGTTGCTGACGTGCAAACGACAACCACGCCTAATAACTTCCTCGACTTTCACCTATCAGTCGCAAGCATCGAGCCAGCTCAAGTGAATATATTAATATGTACAGTGTCATTCATAAAGTGGGTATCATATGAGAAACATTTTCAATAATAATTTATCCGACTTGGCGTTGCGTTTTGCTTTAAAAAATATTGAAAATGGACTACTCGGTCGCGACTTTTTTTACATGTCAAAAATGTTGCATGTGTATTATTTTATATTCAAATTTACAAAATTTCCAAATTCCCAACAACCATGATTCAATTTTTTTATATACATTTGTCATCACATGAAAACATGATCAAAAAAGTTGAAAACTTGTCCATGATCATGTTATATATTTTTTTCCTTCAACTTACTAAAATGCATTTCTCATTGAGTACAATTTACATACTAAATACATATTCATAAAAATAACTAAAAACATGATATGTTGCATATATATTATTTTATATTCAAATTCACAAAATTTCTGAATTCCCATCGACCATGATTTGTTTTTTATTTTTTCCAAGAGGGAGACAATTTATTGTAATTTTTTACCAATATGAATAGCATATTATTGTTGCATTGAAGTTGAAGAGGATTTCTCATTTTTATTTTTGGTGTCATATTTATGTTTTACATGATTATCGTTTTGTAATTTTCCGTGTATATTGTTGATGTTTTATAAAACAATTGATCAACAGATAAAATGTTATAATGTTCAAAGATAATTTTGGAAGAATAATCAAAAGGTTTTTTGAAGATAATATTCAATGTATATTGATTGAATAAGAGTATAATAGAAACTGATAATCCATTTCCGACTGAAAATGTTTCTCAGGAACCTGAATTTATAGTGTCTTCCTTAGTTTTTGTACCACTTCATCAATTTGTTCAACAATCTAATTAGATCGCATAGCTTCGCCTGTTGCCGTGTGCGTAGATTGATATGAAAAGTTGTAAGGAGATGCCAGGGCCTTCCAAATAGCGTATCGCATTCCCGTATTCCTTTTCTTTTTTATCTTCTGGAGCGCACAAAACAAAACCTCTATTACGTTCTCAGAACATCGTGCAACATAGGAGGATAGAGAGAGAGAAGGTAGGCATTGGAGTTTTTCTTGAACTACTAGAGGTTAGGTTAGTTCCTGAGTATACATTCTTAGGCAAAGCATTTCAAAGCTGATTGAAAATACTTGTTTCAGTCTTATTTTATATTTATTTACATGGCATAATTATATAACAATATTAAAAAGATAAATGATGTGGTAACTGAGCAATGATCCGATTCAAACTATTGAAGATTCATTATACTTGATCCACTTGTAATTATCAAAAGCCATACAGGCAGCAATCTGAAACAAAGGATTATATACAAATCTTCAAATTCCAGAAAAGCTAAAAAGAAATATCAGGTACTTGGTGATTCACCATCGATGTCCCATGATAGTCTATCTATACAGAGTCCCGCCGATATAATAGGGACATTATTACTATTTCCTAAACTGTAAGAGAACGTTCATAAAATCAGACAAAAGTTGCATAATTTGAACCTTTCCAATAAACATTTTGCAATTTGGAAAAATGTCAGCCGTTTTCGAAATATTTTTGAAAAAAAAAGAAAATAACAGATTTTGATTTCAATCGATTTCCTGGTTAATATTAGAGGAATACACTTGAAATTTTTTGTAGGCAGGTAATTAATCATGACAAAAAATTTGGGATTGTCAGAAATATTATATCTTTATTATTTTCAGAGATTTACCATGCAAAGTTTTGGTTTTATTATGGGCGCCATATTTGTTATCTATACCATTGAATAGAACTGAAAATTCCATGCACAGCCATGTATGTCCATGAGTCATGAATCAAAAGAAGTGGGGTGGTAGGGAGGTCTCTTGCAATCAAACTAACGGTATATGTGGCTATCAAATTGTTGATGGTTCAAAAGTTATCCAATTCTTCTGAAAAACGCGAACTATTTGAAAAAAATTAATAACAAGAAGGCTGTTTTGAATAACCCTTATATGTAATTGGATATCTTTGTGGGGTAATTTTTAAATCTGCCAGCGAAATTTAAAAATCAACTTGAATATTTCATTCAATGACAAAACTCAAGGAAAACAACATTTTGCTCAGGTAATCGATAAGAAGTAACACATGTTATAAAATAATTTCTTGGGAATGGTGCATAAATGTGGATGAAATTTGTAGAAGAAAAAATCACAAATGTGACATAGTTTTATTATAATTATTTTTTTAAGAAATGAAAATAAGTTAATAACTTTGATCCATCAACAATTGGATAACCACATATATTGTTAGTTAGATTGGAAATGACACCCCCCCCCCTCCCCTTACCACCCCACTTTTTTTTATCCATGACTTATGGGACAACCAGTATAACATGTTGACATTTTCACATGAAACAGTGCCAAAACAGTAAAAACATCTTCAAATGTAGTAGGCTATGATAATTGGAAAACAAAATATCATTCGTCATGACTACACTATCAATACTTCCTCATAGTGGGAACCATTTTTTTCGAAGGCAATTTTTTTCGTTCAATTTCCCAGCAACAAAATTTTCATTAATATCTCAAAAAATTTTGTGAGGGGATTGATTGATTCGATTCTGTTGAGTAGACTGTTATATTTATATCAGAAAAATATGATTTTTTTCATGAATAGGTTTGGTGGATCTTCCACTCAAGTAATCAGGTAGTGCCATCTGTCAGCAGAGAGGTTAACTTGTAGTACCACTTTGCAACGTGTTGGCGTAGGGGCCTGCAAGTATTGACTAGAGATGGCAGCGTCCTACAGTGTATGACGTGACCGCAAGGTCCTACCTTAGAACAAACGCTACTAGATGGCGATAGCATGACTAGATCATCATGCAGTATGCGGGGTCTTCGAAATGGGTGATACCTGAAGCGTTGAGTTGTCCCAGTTGTCAGAAGACCGAGAGCGGCTGATGAGGCCTTGTGGGCCGAAATAGTAGGGTCTCGCTTCTGCTGACAATTGTGGCAACTCTGTTGTTCCTAGATCTCTTATTTATGAGATCTACATAGGAAATGTTGGAGAATAAGAACGAAACATATCTGACGAAACATATATGATTATAGACACTTACATTTAAACTGTCGATTATTCATACAACCATAACTATCACTGCGCTAATGTTCCCATTGGATCCCAAGCTGGGAGAACTATAGGTTCCTGGTTGAAGACGTCCAATACTTCTTGCGGCACGTACTTCTTATCAACTACGACCTCGAAAGTGAACTCCCTGAACCAGTCTGAAGTCATGACAAGGTATCCTTTCTCGCCTCTATCTTCACCCCAAGAGTTTTCTACTCTCAGTTTTTCCACTTCTCCGTCTTCCTGGAATCGAATCAAATATAGAAATGCTTGAATCTATTGTCAGCCGGCCCAGTGCAACTGATGAGGCTTGGCCAGCCAGAACAGTCTCTCTTGCATCAGCTGACAATCAACTCACGAATATCCAAGAGAATATCTTATCCATGACTTATCTGATAATGGTCAATAAAAGAAGAATTGTGAGATCTTCAATTGTACGACTACTAACCAATATCGTTCATTTCAACCAGCGGTAGTGGAAACAAAAATGAATAAAAAAATATTTTCAAAGTTTAATTAAAAACCTATCCATACGACAACAGAGAATTTTAAACTCTAGGATTTACATATAGACTTCTCCTGACGAAGAATGTTGTAATAGTTTTTCACATGCTGGCTTATCGCATTTCGGCTGGCAGTGGCTTGTCATCTCATTGGCTGATTCCTTTCGCGGAAAATATAGCATTTGATAATTTGACTGTAGCGCAAGCATACAAATATTGAAAAAAATATTTCTATAATATTCAGATACATGGTGAAAAATGCAGGTAATAGCATTTCAGTTTTCTTTGTTCTAGTCCAACATTAATAATGATAATAATAAAGTTTATTCAAAATGTTGACATGATATAAATTAAAAGTATACATATTGAATGAACAAAGAAAACCTTACAAAGTATAACTTGTAAGGTAAATAAAATTGAAAATTATGATTGTTAAATCAATTGATTAATTCGAGACAAAAGTAATTTATAAATAAAACTGTATTGTTATTCATTCAATTATTGGGTATAAGTATATAACGGGTCTTCAACAATGATTGAAAACCATGTGAAAGATTACTATGCAACCAATCATAGTTGAAGACCCGGTACAGTTCAGTACTGTCTCAAATTTCGTAAATTAGATATTGAATGTATCAATCAATTATCACAAATAGATATGCAGTATATTTTTTATTGAAATTCGATTACAGATGTTGAAGAATCGCCTCAATATGAAATCAACGGAAAATAGTGAGTAAACGTTCTTCACTATTTCGGTTTATTGCTGCATATCTTCAAGATTACAAATCTTATCACATGTCCAGTTATAATCACATAAATTATAGGAAATCAGGGTGTATACGAAAAATGAATTCTTTGATCGTGCCTCGTATACACCCTCACTATAAAGTATGTACTTATGTATGTAACTTATGTGATTATAACTAGACATGTTTATGAGTTCCATTTTTTAAGCTTACTTTGTCTTATTTATACCACAAAACAGTTTTTTTTTGTCAATCCTACCCGATTCGACGTTTTTACGAACTTTGTCGGCTTATATCTTAGAAATTGAGCATACAAAACTTTTTAAACTCACATATTTTTCTAATGAGCCATCCCACAGCAACATAGTTAATTTTCAGCCAATTCTACCGAGAGAGTTTTCGTACTTTCTACGTATTCACCGACTTAAGAAGTTTACACTGATTTGTGTAATTATTCACCAGTTAATTATTGCGGTACTCATACCATTCGAAAGAGAATAAATTACAGAAGTTTTAAAGTATTTGAACACGTGAAGTCTCGAAATCAGTGAGACGTAGTACTGGACTGTGACTAAAAGACGCCTCTTGTCAGCTCCTAAAAAATTTGCATGAATCCTGGATACTTTTTGTCGCTGCCAAATACAAAAGTGTATTCACATAGGTACTTTGCAAAGGAAGAAAAAAACCTACCAAATAAATGTTGCATCACCTGTGTTCCAAAGAATATTCGTCGGGAGATCAATATATTACCAATAACAAATAAATTCAATCTTGAAAATTAGGACATGTTATCCAGTTTCATTCATTAATATTATAGAAGCACATTTTCACACTTCAAATTGCAAAATATTTGGCGTTTCGAATCTTATGTCACTATGGTATTCAAATGAAGTATATATCTTACGGTTGTTTTAACAGCTGTAAACACCATGGCATGTGTCATAGAACTTTCTCCATAGAGAAGTCTGTCAGCTTTGGATAGAGTGACCTGGATATCCACACCAAAAACGAGTGGGAAATTATGCCTAGAAAAGATGAAGATAATATAAGACCGATCAATCAGAACAGTTTAATATCAACTTTCTGCATTAGTATTTTACTATTCTGTATGGCATCCTTTTACAATATTGTTTCATCTGTTATAAAGAAGAAACACTCAAAATCGTCTACACTATATACAACTTTTTAATAATATAATGAACAAGCAGTAATATTTCGGCCTGAAATTGATAAAATCATAAATACAGTGCTCGTTTCAATTCAGTTCCCTCTTACTAATTCTTGAACCACCTGGTATATGGCAATAAAATTTGGAGGGCTCAAATAGGAGTTGATAACTTACTATTTTATGGAAATAATTACAGATCAGTTTTGAAATGGCAACTGAGTGACATCTTGAATTATTTGAATGTTCAAGTTTGTAAAGTGACATTTTGAAAATCGAATGTTTCTTTCAATCAAGTTTTCTTTGGAAAAAAACTTTGTCGCATCATGTTTACTGTTAAATTCAAATTTTTACTACCAAATAGTCTGTTGAGCGCCTAAATTTGAAACAGTTAATTTTTGGAAAGCTGGAAAAACTTTTCACCTAGCAGTCAGTATATTCAATGATAGACTTCCCAAAAACCTCCAATCCGGCTCTTCAGAAGAAGAAAAGTTAAGAAATGTTGCTAAAATCAATCCCACTCAGTCGACGTCTACAGTCGCTGAATCCTGTGCAGTAAGTTCAAAAAGTGTCCTTAAATAAAAGTCATATCCCTTAACAGTTAACAAGAACAATGGGCTTATATCACAAAAAAAATTATTTCATAATTCGATAGAACACACCCAAACTAGCTCACCACCGCAAACCGTTTCTTGCTGTGAGCTCCCTACGTTTTATAAAAAATTATTGAAATCCCCGATTTTTCGGACCTCTGAAAACGAGGCGATGATGTGACGTCAAAACCCTAATACTGAAACAAGACTATTCCAGACAGAGATGAATGATACATGATTTCTCACAAAGCACCAAGATTGGTGAATCGGCAAGTTGATTTTTGGGACATAGATGATAAGAAAAAGAAGAAGATCAATTCTAACCTAAATTAAGTTTCTGCAACTTTTGAATATCAAATTGAAATATTTTGACAAAAGTATGATTGAGAAATGTTCTGTGCCTAATTGCAATTAAAAAAACATCATTTAGCTGGGAATTTTGAGAACAAATCTCGCCCCTCACTGGGTAAACACAATATTATAGTAGTAGTTTTGCTTTGCAGAAATTCATAGGGAAATTGCTTGAAGAATGAATGATCCTAGAAGAACATTCAGGGGGAACATTCATAGGGAAATTGCTTGAAGAATGAATGATCCTAGAAGAACATTCAGGGGGAGATGCAAGCAGTATCTAGTCTTGGGAATAACATTGTTCCATACCAATTGATCATATTGTTGCATAGGTAAACATATCGATCAGTGACTGATTTAATGAGGATTCTCCCTCGGAATCTCCATATGATGGGTATTCTGTTGAATATCCTTTCAGGTGAACAATTTTCCAATGCAACTATAATAGGTACAAGCAATGAAAATTGAATGAATATTGTGGAACTTACCTTTCAGATTTTCTATTCCTCATTTCAGCACTGAGGAACTGTGGATATTTTCTAGTATGTTAGAGACATAAAAATAATTAACCATTTCCAAAATCATTTTCGGTAGATTATCTGATGAGCCTTTTACAAATCCTGATTCAACGTTCATGTTTATATTCAATATATCAATAATATTATTATGTATTAATATGATATAAAGCAAGATTTGGAGGTTAATTTCATTACGTGTCTTCTCTTCTCATTTTAGACGACATAAATAACTTCGGAATCGGAATTCGAGACTCGATGCAAATGCAGAATGCAGCTCCATGTGAATCGGGTCAACAAAGCAACGTTGCTGCGTTCATGAAATATATAGGATTATTGTGAAATTGTCATGGTGCAAATGGTTTTGAGATTGAGACATTTCGTTGTTTAGAGATTGTTTATATTCTAATGATTCAACCTACCATCGACAAGTTGAATTTATTTTTCTGCAGTAGTGGTAGTTGATATCAAAAGATATTTCAATATCGATTTCGATCTCTCGGATATTTTGTTTAGATGATATGGCAACAGTGATAAGTGTCACACATGGGTCACTCTATGGGTCACGCTCATTGGTTCCAGGCGAGATGAGGTTTCTAAGTCATAAAGAGGGTCCGTTTTCAGAAGGTACTATTATTTATGTCCAAAAATAAAACATTCCAGTTAATTTTTGGATGGAATTATGTCGCCAATCGTTATTTATGTATAAAAGGATCATTATAAACATGGTTTGAGTTGAACGTTCTACTAAGGTGTACACGCCCATTGAAGGGAAACGAAGTTTTCTGAAACGTGTAATTTTTTCAGAAGAATGAAAGTTTTTTCTCTATGGAAAAGTCAACAAACAGAACGTACGATACTGGAGCGATACTAATCCGCAAAGGGTTTGGGCGAGGATTTTGAGCAATCACGTTATTGGACCGCAGAAACAATCTTACAAGATATCTTTACTGAAATCGTTTTCACATATAATGTTGTTTCACTAAAAACAAATAGTCTTTTACAGAAAATAGTTTCCTGATAATATACTCCCTACTTGTTCCAAAAAAAAAATAATCACTCTTGAGTTCAATGATTTCACAACAATATGGCTTTGAGGCCTTAATAGTTATTTATGTATTAAGGGAATTATGAGGGCCTTAATTACCGATGGCAAAGTTTGCGTCCCGAGGGCCTCTGGCCCGAGGGACAGCAATTGCCAGAGGTAGGTAGGTAGGTGTAGTTTCCAGTGTTTACGTTCTGTGGTTCACGTCCTTCGCAATTTGATTTGCTCGTTAACATGTCAACTGTCATAGCAGCCAATAGCTTGCCTTGTTTACAAAAATTAAAAACAGGAAAGTTGGATTGCGAATCTGTCTCTTCAATTTTGTGTTTTCGAAATTTATACTGCACAGCTGTGGCTCATTAGCACCCAGTAGCGCTTTGTTGTCTTTTCTCCTTGAAAATCTGATAAAACCATCTTGTAAAACAGAAGAATTAGCAATTCAATAGAGTTATAAAAAAATGGAAATCTTTGGAATGGGAATTTTTCAAATTTCAAAACGGCATTTTCTTAGGCATGAAATAGCGCAACTTTGCCATATTTAAACCGACCCTATATCTCTTACGGTTTGCTAGATCCCAATGATGAGGCTCGAATTCCAGCCACCCTGTACATATAAATAATATAAAACACCTAGGCCTAGGAGCTGGCTAAATCATCCAGGAAGGACGACTGGTTATCCCGCACTTAATGGCAATTAGAGCCGTGCTGATTCCTAAGTTATTACTCCTAGACTTCAGCAAATCAAATCGCCCAAGAAAAGGATTTCTGGAACATTGTGTTCACCGAGGGAGGATAGGAAGAGAAGGTCGGTATTAGCGAAAGGTCGCAACGTTAGATGTTTACCTTGAAATCCGCCAACTGGAATGTTTTTGAAGGTTATAAGTTCAATAAATTCGTGAGAAGGGAACAGTTGATGATTCAAGATTTAGGGAGCCATCCCCAGCTCCAAACTGTTTGAGTATCTATGACACAATGATAAATATGAAGCAAAACCATTCTCTGACCAGTGAAATAATTAGGTATAAATATAGTATATCACCAGTATCCAGAATCGCTCTCGTAATTCCTGGAGAATATCCCGAAACATAGCTAATCTTAATTTCATTTTCAATTCTTCTGAGGTAGACAACATAGTTGCCAAAATACATATTTGGGCTTTCCCAAATATCATTGTGGTATATTTTGTATTCGATCGGTCAACCACAGTCTCCGTGTTTTAGATAACTTGAAATCCAAAATGAAAAAAAAATGACCGAAATGTTATGACTACTAATAATACTCGAAATCATCTCAATGACATTTAAAAATGATCAAACGATCAAATTTTTTTTTGATCAAATTTTTTTTTATGTTCTGGTTCCCACGAAAAGGATATCCTGTATTGGTGTTCTTCTTAAATGTCTGAGGTGTGTTCCAGAGCCTCGCTGTTCGTTTCAATCATTTGGTATGTACATGTTTTGAACATATATATATCTATCCTCAGCCTGATCAAAATTACTCGATTAATCGTGTCCTAGAATGAATGAGTGCAAAAAATGAATTATTAAATGGAATGCGTACGTGGGAATGAAAAAAAGTTGGTTACATCATGATACTAAAAATTGAAATAACAAAATTGGGTTTCATTTCCAACAAACCCCAAATTTGAATATTATGTTGAAAACCACAAAAAAGATCACCTCTAGGTGCATATCTGCGAGATTTCAAAATGGGAGAACGTGTCATGTCCATCTTGTTACGTACTCGACGGAAAACGGAAGACACCCGACCATCTAAAAAAGAACAGACATGCGTCACACTTCACAGGTCAACAAATAAGACAAGTGGCATGAGACATAATGACAATGACCAACAGAACCAGTAGACGAATTCGTCGAATACCTAACAAAAGGAGAAGAGGGAACATTTGAGGTGTTTCATTCCCATGTAAGCATTCCATTTTATAATCCATTTTTTGCACTTTTTCACATTTAATCTAGGACACAAGTAATGTAGTAATTTTGATAAGTCCGAGGATGGACAAATATATGTCCAAAACGTGTATCAATTGTTTTCCTCGTTTCGATAATTTCGAGTATTATTTAGTACTTACTACTTTGCTCCTCTTTGAGAAACCATGGACTTCTACCAAAGATGGAATGTTATGATTGTTTATGTGTTTTACTTTTCAGGCTCGTACAAATAACGTACATTTTCTTAGATGCAAAAATGTGATTTTGTTAAATAAACTACGGAAATACACAATCCAAACAGCAAATAATTAATTCAATAATAATAACATTTGAAATTGGTGCCAAAAGGCAATGAAAATACTTGTTCGGTACACGATAAATGAGGTATTAACTCTAGAAGTATTAGCTGGTAAGATCTTTTGTTCGACAATGGCAATGACATTCACGAGCGCCTCGCTCATCAGGTCAGCATAGCCAGTACCTCTCTCGTTGTCATCCGATCTTCAGATCAATAAAAATATCTTCGGAATCCCATTCAATATTATGTTGAAATATCATGGCATCACTTTTTCAATGCATAATCACAAATGTTAGATAGTTCATAAATTTATATAGTTTTTAAGATAAACTCACGCAGTCAAATCCTGTATTCCTTGTTTCCCAGCAAATCTCTTCGATACTTCGCAACCAAACCAAACAGCTTCCCCTTCCTTGATACTTTTAGCAGTCAGCTCTAGAAGGAGTTCTACAGGCTGATTATTGTAAATACACCTTTTGCCACCAACCATATTTCCGAGACAATCAACAGTGTAAACTTTACCATATTCATTGGTCGGTCTGGGATCAGTTACCAAGCAAACCTACAAACGTATCGCTGATCAGTCATTTTAGAACATATTATTTTGTTTGTGTCTTTGGGAATTGGATTCTCTTTATTAAGGAAAATTGTGAAAATAGTTATGTTTGTGTCTAGTGCGCGAAATGCTGCTTTGGTGATCGAGAACTGCGCTTCGTTAAGAAAATAGTCGAGATCACCAATGAATTTCGCGCATGCTTAGCTTAATATAAAAAATAGTGTTGAACTGGCTTAAAACGCCTTAGTTGTTGATAAACGTTTAGAAATAAACGATTTTTCTGATTTGAGGACCCTAAAGGTTAAAATTATAAAAAAAACATATAGTTTACATGCAATGCGCGAAGTATGTGCTTCGCGCACTGTTCAACTTGGTGCACTACTTCGCGTGGTAGTAACGTAGGGAATTGAAAAAAGTGTCACTTCGTATATTGCTATCAATGCGCGAACCTTGTCAAAACCGACACCGTGCGCGAAGTAGTGCACCAAGTGAAGCGAACGATGTTGCGATTATTGCAAAAGGCAAATTCGCAGGAACAGTCTCGGAACATACCCAAACTGCTCTAAACATAATTAACAAGTGGTGTCAAGAGGAGGAACTAACTGTGAACCCTCTTAAAACCACGACAGTGGTTTTTACTAAGAAGAAAGTACTGAGAGGGCTGAAGCCACCAGTTCTTAACGGGGTAGAAATTCCAATTGCACAAGAGGTAAAATACTTGGGAGTCATCTTCGACCACAAGCTGACATGGAATCAACACCTACAGAAAATAATCCAGAAAAGCACGATAGCCCTCAACCTGTGCAGAAGAATGTGCGGGAAAAACTGGGGGTTAAAACCAAAAATGATCATATGGCTATATACCAGGGTTATTAGACCAATGATAGCATATGGTTCGGTGGTATGGTGGCCAAAGACTCGGCAGGCTGGGGCGACCAAAAGGCTAAGTGGCATTCAAAGGCAAGCCTGCCTGGCAGCCACGGGAGCTATGAGGACAACCCCAACAGCCGCCTTAGAAGTCTTGCTGAACCTACCGCCACTTCACGTCTACATACAAGGCGAAGCCAGGTCAGTCACCAATAGATTGACCAGAGGGCAAACGCCCATAAGCAGACTGCACGGTAAGATGTACAACGAACTATACAAAGAGTTGGAAACCGACCCGATAATGGGAATGCCATCGGACGAGATGCTTCCCAAGTATAGCTTCGGTAAACAATTTAAGACTGTTATAACAGACAGAGAGGCATGGAAGGGAGGTCCTCCAATTGATGCAGAAATGGCCTGTTATACAGACGGCTCAAAAACCGATGAAGGTGTAGGAGCAGGAATATATATAGCCAAGCCAAAGACAAGAGTCTCACTGAGCTTAGGTAAACACGTGACGATATTCCAGGCAGAAGTTGCAGCAATACATTAGTGTGCAGGAGAGTTAATAAGGCAAGAGTTTAAGGAAAAGACCATCGCCATTTACTCCGACAGCCAAGCGGCTATAAAAGCAATCAGCTCCATGCAGATCAATTCCAAACTCGTCTGGGACTGCTTGGAAACCCTACAAGAGCTGGGCAGTCAAAACAGACTGTACTTAGCCTGGGTACCAGGCCACACAGGCTACAAGGGCAACGAAGAGGCTGACTCACTAGCCCGAGAAGGAGCAAGATGTGCTCCTATCGGTCCAGAACCTTTCTGTGGTATAGCGAAAGCGCTGCAAAGAACAAATAACAGCACTTGGATGAAGAAGCAGTCTCGAGAATGGTGGAACAAGGCGCCGGGAATGAGACAGGCCAAAGAGTTGATTAAAGAACCATTGCCAAAATTCACGGAGTACCTACTAAGCCAGAATAGGAGAACAACAAGGATCTTGGTTGGGCTCCTGACAGGGCACTGTAGACTCAACAAACACATGAACAACATCGGATTGGCGGACACAACCATATGCAGGTTTTGCCAAGAAGATGAGGAAACCTCAGCACACATACTGCGCTACTGCGAAGGCCTGACTAGGCTAGGCTAAGGTTTTCGACGATAGGGGAGGAAAAACCACAGCCCTCTCAATATATGGAGGACCTGAGGTCTGGCCTATGGAGTCTAGTAATAAGGATGGGTTTAGACAAGGAACTCTAACATGACATGAGGGCACACACAATAGATCTGTAAAGGTCGCAGTGGAGAGGCTCCTAGTAGCACATGAGCCCCATATCAATCTAATCTAATCTAATCTAAGTGAAGCGAAGTACATACTTCACGCATTGCATATAAACTGTATGAGATTTTCGTATTATAACCCTTATGGTCCTCAATCGATAACATCCAAGAAATCATTTGTTTCTAAATGTTTAACAATAATTAAGGCATTTTACTTGATTCTTTGGGATTTTCTCTCCTCGTTCAACACAATTTTTTATATTAAGCTAAGCTACTATAGAATTTTGACGTTTGCAGAAAAAATTTTGTTTGCAACTCGTGCGCGAAATGCTTTGGTGATCTCGACTAAATTTTTAACTCGGCTGCGCCTCGTTCAAAAATCAGTTCATAAGTATGATGTACACAGAAAGAAAGCAAAGCTCAGCAGTTTTCCGAATTTTCAATAATATACAGGGTGTTCCATTTCTTTTGCTTCTTTTATGTTTCTTGGTTTTCTGACTCCTTGCGGTGCCAATTCCACCAGATCGGGTATTTTGGTATTAAGGAATGTTATAATTGAGATGTTATTGAGGATAATGGTCAGGTTAGGTTAGGTTCACTTCTTCAAGCAAACGAAATAACTGTATTTTTCTCCACCCTGCATTGAAGTAACAGAGGATGAGCTGAAGTGTGGAGAACTTCAAAGTATAAACCCTACCACTATTGATGGGTAGCAAGAATACTCATCCACAGATTGAACTCGTATAGCTCGAATTTTGTAATTTACAGTCCTGCATTTTACAAGTTCTCATTTCATATCAATCATATGAATATGAACAATCCAAAAAATATGGCTAATCGTTCGCCGATCGAATTGTTTCCCTTGTGACTTAGTTTTCAATTTACAAAATATGGCGCAATTCGATAAAGAACCGATGACCAAAGAAGACTTCCACATGCCGGACAAATTTATGGAAGACCAATTCGTATGAAGTGCATCCAAACTATTATTCAGGAAATTCATCTTCTTCAAGAAGATTCAGGTTGCTTGAGATTGAATATACTATAGTCAACTGATATTTGTGTCCTTTTCAGTTCTACTGAGGATAGCAACTCGGTTACCAAAATACCTATCCAGGTTTTTCTAAATATCAATGTGGTTTTTCGGATGAATATTTGATTAAGTACCTAAACCAGAACCAATGAGTAGATGAGATAATTTCAATATAAAAACAGTTCTCTTGTCTCACCTCTGTTTTGAAATATTCTTTTTACTGATGAAATGCGAATTTGCAGATTATATCTATATATATAATTAAAATTATATAATGATAACTCATCCAAACTCACATGCGATACAAGTATTAGGTATAATTTCCTAAAAAAAAATCTTTCTCCTTATTGTTGGATTGAGAGATTGAGTCGACAACGGACATCACATACGATACACTTGAAATGATAATTATTATTGGAGTACCTACTTCTAACTGAATTTCAGATGTTAATTCAAGTTAATTATGTGGATAAGTATTTTTGCTAGCCATCAATAGTGGTAGGGCAATTGTGGATATACTCGACCAGGAATTGAATAGATATTTATAATTATATTCTGAGAATAAATGAAATAGGTACTCTTTCGGATAGTTAGTTTCGTTGTTGTCGGGAGGAAATGATACTGTTACGATTTTACTCTGGGTCCGTAATAACTTAACACTCGGTATAACACTTAAAATAATTTATTCTGAACACTACTATACAATAGTTAAAATACTCGTACTAAACACTTCCGATTCACAACACTTCTTCGATCGTTATTATAACGCTTCCAAATAAAGACTTTTTCTTCCTGTTCCTAACAACAACTATTTATACTACCTAATAAAACGTCTAGATTCCACTCGAAATATCGTGAACAGGTCGATAATCTTCTCGAGTCATCTCAATAGCCGTCGAATCACCTAATTACTATTCCAAGAAATATGGCTTGTTTACATTCCCGCAGGTAGCTGGGATCGATTGCCAGGGTCGTAACATTTACCCCCTTCTTCAAATTTGATCGTCCCGATCAAAAACAGAACTCTCCTCACCATGGTAGCGCTTCAGTCTTTCAAGATGAACGACTTTCATCTTTGTCCTAGGGCTGCGTTGGATTCTGTAGACCACATCGTTGATCCTTTTCAACACCGTATACGGTCCTTCCCAAGATGGTGTTAATTTGGGTGATACGCCTTTCTTCCGTCGAGGATTATACAGCCAAACTCGATCTCCTTCGAAGAATCCCTCTGAATTGGCTTTGAGATCGTACCGTGCCTTCATTTTGTCACTTGCTAATTTCAATCTCTTCCGAGCAGTCTCATGAGTTTTCATCAAGCCATTCCGGAGCTCATCTGCGTAGTCTTGTACTTCCTTTTTTTCAACACTTGGTGAACCGAACACCAAGTCACAAGGTAAGCGGAGTTCTCTTCCAAAGACTATACTAGCTGGAGTTAGCTTCGTTGAATCATGGACAGCTGCTCTATACGCCATCAGGAATAAGGGAAGATGCCTGTCCCAGTCCCTCTGATGCTCTTCGACTACTTTGGAAAGATGTTCTTCCATAGTTCGGTTGAATCTTTCGACCATGCCATCGGATTGTGGATGTAGTGGAGTTGTTCTCGTCTTACTGATTCCCATTAGATCACAGACCTTTTTGAATAAGTTCGACTCAAAATTTCTCCCTTGATCAGAATGTAATTCCATTGGTACTCCGAACCGTGAAAACATGTTGTCGACCAATATCCTGGCAACTGTGGAGGCTTCTTGGTTTGGCATGCCGTATGCTTCTACCCACTTACTGAAGTAGTCCATAGCAACCAAGATGTATTTATTTCCATCATCAGTCA